GGCTCCTCTGCAGGGCCCGCCCGCAGTTCCCGGGCCCACGGTCGCACGGCCAATCTGGGTGCAGCAGGTGTCGCATAGGGGATCGGCCACATAATTAATTTACCCCCAAATCAGTTTTCTCGTCGAATCTACGGAAAATGCTTTGACGCCCCAGTAGATTTACGAAACATTTACAGATTCGTCGCAGATTCTAGAGGGGAACTCAAGTCTGGGGTAAATCGATTCTGTAGTCGATTCCCTACTCGAAAGTGGATAGCCGGTGGGCGACTTCATATTCCCACCCGCAAGCGCATCCCGCCGCCCAAGAACACTTTGGAGTCCACCACGGGAGCGCCCGAGTACGCCTCAGGACGCGCGAAAGCCTCGATCCGCGATCCCCGATCGACGTCGCAGGCCTAGAGGTTGACACCAACACCAATGTCGGCGGTGTTCCCCCACCGAGGGAAAAAGATCCCGATCTCGGTGATGGTGGTAATATTCTGGCTTCCAAGGTGACCGAACTATCACCACCAACACCGAAATCTAGGATCATCTCCCCCCTGTGAAGGCAGCCCCCTGTAGTGGTGTTGGTGCCCATCTCCAGGCCTCCAACGACGACGTCGACGACGGTCCACGGGTCGCACTGCTTTGGGAGCCCGTTGCAGGACCTGCTCTTCCGCGCGGGGCCCGCCTCCCAGGCTCGGGCCCGAGCGGAGAGGGGGGGGGGGGCACTGGGAAGCGGGGGGCCGTCTGCTGCGTGCAGCGATGCCCAGAGATCCGAGGATACTCCAGATTTCGTAATAATCGGAGGGGGGTCTCATTTCGGGGGGGGGGTCTCTTCCAGGCTATCTTGGAGGGCCTGGGGTGGTCTGGGGACGATGTTTTGGAGCGTTCTCCCACGAGGGGGGGTCTGAAATGGCTTGTCTTGGAGGGTCCAGACCCCCTCTCTTTTATTACGAAATCTGGAGTATGTTTTTCAATCCGGTGTTCTTTTTCTGGATTTCGGCCTCCGGGGCCCGTTACCTGGCCTGGGGACCATCTAAAATGGATCCGGGACGAAAGCTACCCCCTGTGAAGGGGTTGGGACTTTTGGGGTTAAGTCGGGCATGTCCCTCTCCAGGAGGAATCTTCAAGAATACTGAACAAAAAGTCTGGTAACGATTTCTCGTACTCTCTCGATTCGAATTGATTATGTCTTGACGATTGTTTAATCTTTCTTCCAACATTTGCCTGTAAGAGGACATGCCCGACCGAACTTTGGGGCCTCGGTTTGAAAAGAACACATCGGCGGATGTCTGGGTACCAGGCCGCCACCGACGCGGGGGAGCGCCAGGGGGACTAATCGCACGCATCTGATTCGCGCCCCCCCACCCCCTTGGCCATCCCCCTTCCATCGTTCGGGTAGGGGATCGACTACAGAATTGATTTACCCCAGAATTAATTTTCTCGCCGAGTATGCGGAAAAGGATGATGAAGCCCCAGTGGATCGACGAAAAGTGCGCGGATTCGTCGTAGCCTCGATGGGGACAATCTGCTCTGGGGTGAATCAATTCTGCACAGTCGGCCCAGATTAGTAGGTCGACCCTGCCAAATCAAGAGTACCCTTGTGTCCCGCGCCTCGCGACCCATGCTTCCTGCATTCCTGTGGCAGTGTGGCCCTCGGAAAGGTCTTGCGTCCTCTCGCGTGTCCTGTCCAATCGAGTCCGACCGTCTAGGCCTCCTAGATGGGGTCCGAGTAGATGGGGTCGGAGGATCGCACCGCATCGCCGATGCATTGCTGATGCTTCTCGATGCGGAGCCCGATTTTGCTTCACGTCGACGTCGCCGATGCATCGCCCACCTCGACGATGCATCGCTGGTGCATCGCTGGTGCATCGCCGATGCATCGCCGATGCATCGTCGATGCATCGGCGATGCGGCGCGATCCTCCGAGCCCATCTTCTCCGACCCCATTCGGGAGACCTCTAGACTGTACAGTGAGCGGCTTGAGTAAGGAACACTTGCTTTTCAAAAGGGGCTCGGTCGTTCCTTAGGTTTGCATGCGTTATCTACGGTTCCTTATGAGCTAGTTGTTATTTATCGTTCCTTATCCGTTATTCCTTTGGACAGGGCTTCGTTCCTTATTTATCGTTCCTTAGGTCAGGCCGATGACTGTAGTCGATCCCCGTGGGAGAACCCTCCAAAACATCGTCCCCAGACCCCCCAGGCCCTCCAAGATAGCCTGGAAGAGAACCCCCCCCCGAAATGAGACCCCCCTCCGATTATTACGAAATCTGGAGTCGTCGATCCCCTGCTCGCGTCGCCCTTCCGACAGGCGCGCGCGGCTGCTCCGGGCCCGCCGCCGCCGGGGCTGCCGGCGGCACCCCCCGCCGCCGCGCCGCCCGCCGCGCCGCCCGCCGCGGCGGCGCCCCCCCGCGGCGCGGGCCTCCCGCGGTACGGCGACGGCGAGGCCAAGTGCGACGCGGGCCGGGCCAACTCGGCCTGCCCGTCGAAGGGGGCAAAGTCGCCGCAGCCACACACACACACACACACACCTCCCCCTCCCCCCTCCCCCTCCCCCCTCCCTCCTCCTCCTCTCCTCCTCCTCCTCCTCCTCCTCCTCCTCCTCCTCCTCCTCCTCCTCCTCCTCCTCCCCCTCCCAGTACAGGACACGTTTGGCGCTCCGCGCCAGTTTCTTGGCCTCCGCGCTAGAGGGCCCCCCCCCCGGCGGCGCCTCCGAGCGCCAGGGCAGGGCAGGGGGGGTCGGGCGCAGACCCAGGAGGCCCGCGGGAGGCGCAAGCGGCGGATGCCCGCGGCGCGTTCTCCCCTTCCGGCCCGGGCGTCTTCCCCGTGCCCGTGCGGCCGCAGCCGTGGACGTTCGGCGAGCGGTTCTCGCAGCCCTGGCGCCAGGCCCTCGGCGACCGGCTCCTGGGGGTGCACCGGGGCGGCAGCGCGAGGGGCAGAGGGGCGGAGGCCGACGTCGGGCGTGTCCCTCTACAGGAGGAGTATCCAAGGAGAGTCAGGAAAATACTCTTTATTTTATGTTATTTTATTTATTTATTATTATTGTATTTTTATCATTTTTCGTATTAGTATGATTTTACGTATATATATAGTATATATAATGATACTAAATATATAATATATCATATATCAATTAAATATATACACACTTTTTGATATTCTAGTCGCCCAACATCCGCCTGTATCTAAGCCTCCTACATGGGGTCGGAGTAGATGAGGGTCGGAGGTCGCGGCCGTTCTCCGTGTGCCGATGCATCGCCGATGCGGCACGATGTGGAGCCCGATCTGCTTCACTTCGACGTCGCCGGTGCATCGACGACGTCGACGATGCATCGCCGGTGCATCGCCGATGCATCGGCGATGCGGCGCGATCCTCCGACCCCATCTACTCTCACCACCCACCAAACCACCCCAATCCAACCCGAAGGCCTCGATTTGCCGTTCATTTCCAGTTGGGGGGGGGGGGGGTCGGGGAACACTGACGAAAGCACATTCTGGAACCCGCACCTCCCCCCCCCACCCGAAATTCGGGCCTTCGGGTTGGGTTGGGGTGGTCTGGTATGTTCAGGAGCGAAAGAAGGACGTACATGTACATGAATCCACGCTGGTTTCGAGAGCACGCATTGCCCGAAAGTTCGTATAACGCGGCCGGTCTCGCGGATCGAGGGGCCGTGTTCATGTACATAGCTGGGCGCGTACGTCCTTTGTGGGCTCCCTATATGTAGCCATACTCCGACCCCGGCCAGGAGGCCTGAGCTGTAGGGGGGACCCGCCCGACCCGAGCAGAGGCGTTCGGAGTGCCGTGCGGACTTCCCGGGTCGGCGCTGGACGCCTCCCTTCGGGAGAGGAAAAAGCACACAGACACAATTCAGCGCCGATTCTCAGGAAAATCTGCAAACATATGGGAAGTGGGGCGGAAGACGTGAAGCCCCAGAAGATAGGAAACTATTGGGCATATTTTCATTTGTGTGCATTTGTTTGTGTGTGTCCTGGGGCCCCTTCATCCCTGGCGTTCCCTCCGGCGCCGCGCCCTGCGGGCCAGGTGTGGGGGGGGGGAGGGGGGGGGGCGGTGCCGACCCGCGGAGTCCGCCCGGGTCTCCTCTCCTCCTTATCTCTCTTAGGCTGGCTGCTGGGCGCGCACACCCGAAGCGTCAGCCTCTCCTCCGTCCTCCTCCTTCCTCCTCCTTCCTCCTCCTCCTCCTCCTCCTTTCTCCTCCTCCTCCTTCCTCCTCCTTCCCTACTCCTCCTCCTCCTCACCTCCTTCCCTCCTTACCTCTCCTCCCTCCTCCTCCTCCTCCTCCTCCTCCTTCCTCCTCCTTTCTCCTCCTCCTCCTCCTCCTCCTCCTCCTCCTCCTCTGTTACTGTTCTAGGTGCAGGGCCAGCTGTCGTCGGCGCAGTGCTCGGGGTTCTTCCACTGGGGCGACTACGTGTGGTGCAACCGGGCCGTGGAGCCCCCGGGCGGCGCGGACGTCGTGGGGATCTCCTTCGGCATCCGTGAGCGGGACACCTGGGCCGAGCTCATGAGCAACCGCTATCTCGTGGCCTTCGGCGGCCCAGCCCGCTGCCGCATCTGCACGGCCTCCACGCCATGCCCCTCGTGGGCGCCAGTGTGCCATTCTCTCGCTCGTGCGCCGGTGGAGCGCGCACGCGTGCGGCGCTCGCTCGCTCGCTCGCTCGCTTAGCACTGTGGTCGTGGGCCGCGTTTTCCCGAGGCCTCCGCAGAAGGTGTTCGGGCCGCGAGGTGCCTCGAGCATCGCCCCAGCAGCGCCCAGGAGTTCTGTGGGCTGGGGGTGGGGGCCCTGGATTCAGGTCGGGCCTGTCCCTACATGGGGATTTTTGGACGAAAAAATGAAAAACAGATTCAACACATGTTCAAAACATATCCAAAATACGAAACACATCGTCCCCAGACTATTTTCGACTATTTTTGAATCTCCCTCCTGTAGGGGGACGTGCCCGACTTAACCCTGGACCCGGGAGCGAGTCGAGCGCTACAGCAGCCCTAAAAACGGGACCTACACGGGCACTCCACCCGGTGCCTGCGGCGCGGTGGCGGACGGCGTGGCCACGCACTTGTACGACTGCTTCTACGGCAGGACTCGAGTGGGCGAGCGACCACCAACACTGATTCACCCCACTGCGGGTTCTCCCGTCGAATGTACAAACACATGCGGAGAAGCTCCGTACATCCACAAAACATAGAGTGCGCATTCTTTCGCAGGCCCGACGAGCAGTTCAATCCTGGGGCAGGTCATTTCTGCAGTCGATCCCCCCGCTCCGAAGGACCAACGACACGACCAAGGGCGTCATGGGCTGGGGGAAGCAGGGCGGCGAGCTCACGCCCCAGGCCGTGGCCGGGACGCCCCGCTGCCCGCCGAGGCACCGCCACGACGGCTGCTTCGAGTCGGCCTACCAGATACACCGAGTCTGCATCTCGGCGGCGAGCGAGGGGGGAAGTGAGAAGGAGGAGGTCTTCTCATTATCGCAGGCCTAGAGGTCGACACCCGCACCAGCATCGGCGGCGTGCCTGCACCGAGGGAAGAATATCCCGATCTCGGCGTTGGTGGTAATATTGTGGCTTCCGAGGTGACCGGAATATTACCACCAACACCGAAATCTAGGATCATCTCCCCCTTGTGGAGGCCCCCCCTGAGTTTGTGTTGGTGCCTATCTTTCAGGCCTCCACCATTAGGCGGCGGGACTTCTCAGAAGCCCTCGCACCTTCCGAGAAGTTTTTGTTCGGTGCCCTCGGGGAAGACTCCGAAGACTTCTCAGAAGGCAGGGGGACCTCCGAGCCATCTGAGAAGGCCCGCCCCTTCTCCCCCCCCCGCGCTCTCCGCCAAGCATCGGCACCTCGAACAAGAATGCCGACAGGCTCGCCGTCACCCTGGCCAGCGTCCTGGCCGGGCTGCCGCCGCTGTCCGTCCACCTGAAGATCGACGCGGAGGGCGGCGAGTGGGCCCAGCTGGAGGCGCTCCTCCAGAGCCCGGAGGACCTCGGCCGCATCCGAACGCTGGACATCGACGGAGAAAAGACGCTAGAAACATACAACTCTCGGAGCTCCGCGCGGATTTCGGCGCCTGGCCCCCCCCCCCCCCGGCGGCGCCTCCGGCGCCGCCCCTGGCGCGCTCCGCGCGCCAGGAGGGGGGGGGGGGGAGCCAGCGCAGATCCAAGAAAAACCCGCGCGGAGCGCCAAAAGTTTGGGCGAATGCCCTTTTTTTTCTTCCAGGACATGGAGATTCACTTCTACATGGACGAGTGGTCTGCCGCCGCCCAGTGCCAGCACGCCGAGGAGCTGAGTAGGAAGGTCGGCGTCGTCGAGGAGCTGGCGCGCGTCTTCGCGGTCGCGGGCACCACGCTGCAGGCCACGCTCGAGAAGCAGGCGAGGGCCGCGGCCGACCCGGCCGGGCCTCGCCGAGGGAGCGAGCTGGACCCCTCTGCCGGCTTCCCCCCCAAGTGCGTGATCTCGTCGACTGGCTGGAACCTGAACATTCGGGCCGGGCGAAAGGGGGGGGAGTAGCAAAGGGGGGGGGTTGAGAATCAGCTCACGTAGCTGATTTTCCCGGCGCCTCCCGGCGCCCATGTATCCAGGAATGGGCCCCTCGGTGGGGCCGAAACCGGCTGCATGCAGCAGATTTCGTACCCCCCCTTTCCCAATCCCCCCTTTTCGTCCGGCCCGGAGCATGTACTGCCTGAGCTTTGTCAACCGCCGGCTCCTCCCCGCGTAGGCCCCCTCCCAGCGGAGGCCGGCGTCGCAGGCATGGAGGTCGGCACCAAGACCAGGCGCGGCGGTGTGCCTCCGCCGAGGGAAGGCTCGGTATCGTTTCACCGATCCACATCCCCCATGCCCATTCCCTGCGAGACCCCCACCAAATTACCACCCCACTTGGGGATACGCCCCTCGAAACCCGAAGAGAACGACCTACGTCCCCATCTACGGGGGAAAACCGGCCAGTGGGACCCAGGCCACGCCGCTGGGGATGGGGATCGGTTACACGATGCTCCAAGAGGATCCCGATCTCGGTGATGGTGGTCATATTCTGGCCTCCGGGTGGCCGAAACATGACCACCAGCACCGACATCGAGGATCACCTCCCCCCTTTCGGGGGAGCGTAAGACCCGGGTTTGCCAGGACTCGGGTTCGCCATCGTTTTTTGACGACCGCGCCTCGGATTTTGACGAGGAGGAGTTTCGTGGGATGTCTGCAGCGGGAGGCCTCGTCAAAATGCAGGCTCGGCCTCGTCATTTTTTTGACGACCTCGTCGGGGATTTCCGAGTCCCCCGTGCCCAGGTCTTAATTTCCCCCTCGATCGAGGATCACTCAGGAGGGGAAGAAACACACAGACACACTTAATCGTCGATCCCCAGGAAAATATGGGAAAATATGGGAAGCGGCGGGGAAGACAAAAACTCAGAACACGTGGGAAAGTATGGGGAATCTTTTTATTTGTGTGTATTTATTTGTGTGTTTGTGGAGGCAGCCCCCTCGTGGAGGCAGCCCCCCTGTGCTGGTGCTGGTGCCCCCCTTCCAAGGCCTCCGGGCAGCGGGCCCGCGCGGCGGCCCGCCGAGGCCCCCTCCGCGAGGCCCTCGCCTGGCCCCCCCCGCGCGGCCCGCCGGGGCACCCCTGGACCGCTGTCGGGTCGGGCGAACGGGGGGGATTGGGAAAGGGGGGGGTACGAAATTTGCTGCACGCAGCTGGTTTCGGCCTCACCGAGGGGCCCCCGGGAGGCGCCGGGAAAATCAGCTACGCGAGCTGATTCTCACCCCCCCCTTTGCTATCCCCCCCTTTCGCCCGACCCGACACTGTCATGTCGGGCGTGTCCCCCTACAGGGGGATTTTCGACGAGAAATAAAACATATTCCAACAATACCCTCAAGAGGTCAACGAAAATACCTTACAAATGGTCCCCAGACTGTTTTTGGACCACTTTTGGATTATTTTGGGGGTATTTTTGATTTTTCGTCGAGAATCCCCTTGTGGGGGGACAGGCCCGACTTAAGACTGCTGGGCCGCGTGGCGCGGCGCCTCCGGCGCTCTCGCCGAGCGCGCGCGCGCGCTCCGCTCCTCGCAGAGCGCCCAGGCTCGCAGACGTCCGAGGGAAACACCCGAAGATCCAACGTATACTGGCCACGCGCAGAAGGGGGTAGGGGGAGGGGGGAAGGCTTCTTAGAAGCACCCCTGCTTCTTAGAAGGCGCGGGCCTTCTTCGTAGATCTAAGGCTGGCGCCTTCTAAGAAGCAGCCTCCTTTAAGAAGCCCTCCCCCCTCCCCCTACCCCTTGTGCGCGCCGCCAAATATAGAAAAAAAAACGCAGGTTTGTCGCAAGTTTCGGCCCCTAGGGGCCCTCGCCGGGCCTCGGGACCGTCGAAAAACCGCTCCGGCTGAAAAGCCGGTCCTGGGGAATATGGGTCGAGGCTTCCGGAGGCCGCGCGTTGAAAACATCACGACATCGGATCTCTGGGCATGTCTTCCTCCTTACGTAATGTACTCCGAGGGGTGACAAACGTGAAAACGCGGCGCGGCCCCCCCCCCCCCGGCACCACCTCCGCGCCCCAGCGGGGAAGGGACTGAACCCCAGACCCCCCCTGGCACCCCCGCGCACGCGCCGCGGGCAAGCCCCCCGGGCACTCCAAGGGGGGAGCGATTACTCAGCGATCCTTGGTGGTCCCCAGACGTGATGGTGAGAACACCCGGTGGTGAGTTTTGGGCGATTTGGGTAATGGTTTTCGAGCGCTGGCTGGCCCAGGAAACGCAAAACCTCGTGGCCACCGCGTGTCCCCAAACCCGGTGGTGACCCAGAATTATTTCTTTGGGGAATCGGGGTCACCACCGGGTGTCTCACCACTTGGTTTGGAGACCACCAAACTCAGCGATCCAGGGCCCGGGCCATCTGCGGTAGCTGCTCGGCGGTGTCGAAGATCCCCCGCGGCCAGGTCCCCCGCGGCCAGGGCAGACAGCCAGATCCCCCTGGCAGCTGCACAGACAGACAGTGGCCCCCTCGCCGCGCACGGGCTCTCCCTGGGCAGCGCGCCCCCTTTTCTCTCGAGGCTGCCGGCCGTGGGGGCCCCGCCGGGCAGCGCCGGCGGCCCGGGCGCCTGCCGCGCACGCCTCGACCTGGCTTTACGTCTCTAGGCCTCCTAGATGGGGTTGGAGTAGATGGGGTCGGAGGATCGCGCCGCATCGCCAATGTATCGCCGATGCGGCTCGATGTAGGGCCCGATTTGCTTCAGGTCGACGTCGCCAATGCGTCGCCGACGTCGACGATGCATCGCCAGTGCATCGCCGATGCATCGCCGATGCATCGCTGATGCATCGCCGATGCATCGCCGATGCGGCGCGATCACTCCGACCCCCATATACTACGACCCCATCTAAGGAGGCCTCTATTTACGTCAGGCCTGTCCCTCTATACAGGCGGAGATATTCCAAAAGTAGTCTCAAAAAACATGGTCGGGAGGGACGGAATTTCTGCTTTGTTGTGTTGTTGTGTTGATGTTGTTGTTGTGTGTTGTTTGTGTTGTTGTGTGGTTTGTTGTGTTATTTGTTGGTTGTTGTTGTTGTGTTGTTGTTGCTGATGCTGTGGCGGTTGTTGCTGTGAGGTGGATGTGGTTGTTTGTTGTTGCTGTGTTGCTGTGTTGCTGTTGTCGTTGTTGTTGGTGTTGCCTGTTTGTTGCTGTTGCTGTTGCTGTTGCTTTGATGTCAGTGTTGTTGTTGTTGTTGTTGTTGTTGTTGTTGAACATTATTATTCTAAAGAATAATTATTGTTGGGGCCCCTGGTGCGCGGCCCCCTCGCCGCGCCTAGGCCGCAGCCACATTTTCATCATTTTCGTGAGGAAGTCTCAGGCAAAACGTGGGTGTCCGGATCCGGTTGTTTTGTTGTCCTCCGGCGTTCCCTATGTGCCAAAAAACACTATAAAAATGAAAGTTCTGTGACTAAACATATCCAAACTTCAAGAACCCCTTGCAACAAATAAGGTAAAGTGGACATTCGCGCGCGCAAGACGAAATCCTTCCAAAACCTTAGTTTTCGTAGCGATTTTAACATAAAAACAAAAAAAAACCAATGGTTTTTCAACAAAACATTGTCAAACTTTCATCCCGCGCGCTCTTGCGGATTCGTAGGAAACCCAACACTTTTTAAACATTTCTGTCAAACGGGCTTTTGCTAGCAACTTTTTCGGACTTCTGCAACAACGGTTGCGCACCTGCCAGGGCCATCATCCCTGTCAAATAATACCATGCGGGACACATTCGTTTTTTCTTCGCGCGCGCACGCCGTCGTCGTCGGCCGCGGGCCCTGAATAGTAGCCACGGTCGTCCGCATGCCACGAAGTGAAGTGTCCGAACGTCATAGGGCGGGAAGCTGGGTGTGGGTGGTGGCGAAGAGTCGTTTGGAAACTTGGTAGAGCTTGAACCGGCCCCCCCCCAAAGTGGGGGTATTGCCCGCCTCCTATGAAAACCCTGGCACTGGTGAGAACGGAGTGTCCCCAGTCTTAAATGATTGTTGTTGTTGTTGTTGTTGTTGTTGTTGTTGTTGTTGTTGTTGTTGTCGTTGTTGTTGTTGTTGTCGTTGTTGTTTTTTGTTTCTTGCGCATATTTGAGTTTGATTTGGGTATTTCCGAGGTTTCGGCCAGAATCCGCCTGCAGGGGGACCTGCCCGGCCTAAACCTTGCTGTCGCCACCTACCAAACCACCCCAACCCAACCCGAAGGCCTCAATTTTCCCTCCATTTCCAGTGGGGGGGAGGTCGGGGAAACGACACTGAAAAACAACATATGGAACCCGTACCCCCCCCAACCCGAAATTTGGGGTCTTCGGGTGGGTTGGGGTTGTCTGGAAGGTGTCATGACTTGGAGGGAAGCTCGTGCAGAAGGGTCGTGCTCGCGTGGCGCCTCCACTTTTTTTTTGCACTTTTTTTTCGCGAGTCCTTTTTTGTACTCTTTTTTTGTGTAGCGAGGGCGGGGCGCGCCGACTGCTCCTGTTTTGGTATTCGTTTCTGTGTCTTTTCTGGTTTGCTTGGTGGCGCTCGCCGGGAGGCGACGTCGACACGTTTCTGGCGGCAGGTCTCGGGTCGGGCGAAAGGGGGGGATTGGGAAAGGGGGGGGTACGAAATTTGCTGCATGCAGCTGGAGCGCCCAGGAGGCACCAAGAGGCCCCAAGATGGCCCCAAGATGGCCCCAAGAGGCCCCCAGGAGGCCCCCAAGAGGATCCCAAACGGCCCAAAGAGACGCCGAAAAGCCCCTCAGGACGACCCTCTACTCGCCTGGGCGTCGTTTCTGGACGGGCTGGTGGGGATACGCGAAGCGTCTAGAATTTGCTGCATGCAGCTGGTTTCGGCCTCACCGAGGGGCCCATTCCTCGACACATGGCCGCCTCCCAGCGCCGGGAGGCGCCGGGAAACTCAGCTGCGTGAGCTGATTCTCGAACCCCCCCTTTGCTATCCCCCCCTTTCGCCCGACCCGAGTTTCTGGCGGCAGGTCGGAGGCACCGTTGCCAGCCAGCACGCGCGTGCGGTAGGCGCGGCAGCCAGCGCGCGTGCGCCGCCAAAACGAACGCACATCAGACGTTTTTTTTTTTTTTTTTTTTTTTTTTTTTTTTTTTTTTTTTTTTTTTTTTTTTTTTTTCTCTCTCTCTCTCTCTGCCCCCATCTCTGTCCATCTCTCTGACGCCCAGCAGGTCCAGGACGTGGCTAAGAGCTCGCGCAGTGTCAGTTCACGCGATCGCACCGAGCTGTGATGACAAACGCCTCGTCGACCGTCCTTCGCTGATCGATTGGTTGATCGATTGATGCCCGCGAGGAGGCCTGGCGGGGCGGAGGCGAGGGAGGAGGAGAGGGAGGAGAGAGGGAGGGTGCAGGAGGAAGCCTCCGCGTGCCCCGTTGGGGAGGTTGGAGGGCGCGGATGAGACGCTTCAAGAAGGGCGGAGCAGGCGTTGTCGTCGTGCTGCTGTCGTGCCCGAGCCTTTGCGCAGGCCGGCAGTTGACATTGGCCGCTGTAGGCGATGTCTACACCCGTCATCGTCGCCGTCGTCGTCGTCGCCGTCGTCGTCGTCATCGTCGTTGTCGTTGTCATTGTTGTCGTTGTTGTTGTAGTTGTAGTTGTAGTTGTAGTTGTTTGTTGCTCTTGTTGTTGATGTTGTTGCTGTTGCTGTTGTTGTCGTTGTCGTTGTTGTTGTTGTTGTTGTTGTTGTTGTTGTTGTTGTTGTTGGTATTGCAGTTGTTGTTTTGGTTGGCGTTGCTTTGTCATTGTTGTTGTTGTCGGTGTCGCTGTCGTCGTTATTGTTGTTGTTGGTGAACATTATTAATTCTAAAGAATAATTATTGTTGGGACCCCTGGTGCACGGCCCCCCTGCGCCGCCTAGGCCGCAGCTACATTTTCATCATTTTCGTGAGGAAGCCTCGGGTAATTCGATGTGATCAAGATCCGGTTGTTTTGTTCCCCCCCGCTTTCCCTTGCAAAAAAAACACTATAAAATGACATTTCTTGTTCTAATATAATCAAATTTCAAGAATCCCTTGCAAAAAATAAGGTAAAGTGGACATTCGCGCGCGCAAGACGAAATCCTTCCAAAAGCTTAGTGTTCGGAGCGATTTGAACATAAAAACATCAAAAAACCAATGGTTTTTCAACAAAAAAATGTCAAAATCTCATCCCGCGCGCTCTTGCGGATTCGTAGGAAACCCAACACTTTTTAAACATTTCTGTCAAAAGGGCTTTTGCGAGCAACTTTTTCGAACTTCTGCGACAACGGTTGCGCACCTGCCAGGGCATAATAATGTCCGTAGATAGAGGTTTACTAAGGATCGTGGGTTATCCCTGTCAAATAATACCATGCGGGACACATTCGTTTTTTCTTCGCGCGCGCACGCCGTCGTCGTCGCCCGCGGGGCCCTGAATAGTAGCCACGGTCGTCCGCATGCCACGAAGTGAAGTGTCCGAACGTCATAGGGCGGGAAGCTGGGTGTGGGTGGTGGCGAAGAGTCGTTTGGAAATTTGGTAGAGCTTGAACCGGCCCCCCACAAAGTGGGGGTATTGCCCGCCTCCTATGAAAACCCTGGCACTGGTGAGAACGGAGTGTCCCCAGTCTTAAATGATTGTTGTTGTTGTTGTTGTTGTTGTTGTGTTGGTTGTTGTTGTTGTTGGTGTTGGTGTTGGTGTTGGTGTTGCTGCTGCTATTGTTGTTGTTGTTGTCGTCGTTGTTGTTGGTTTGATTGTTGTTGTTGCTGGTGCTGTTGCTGTTATCGTTGTTGCTGTTGTAGTTGTTGTTGTTGTTGTCGCTGTCGGTGTTGTTGTCGTTGTTAATGGTGTTGTTGCTGCTGCTGCCGCTGCAGCTTTGTTGTTGTTGTTGGTGTTGTTGGTGAACTTTCATTTCTGAAGACTAAATATTGTTGGTCCCCCCACTGGTGCATACTGTTTTTCTCAATCAAAGTGTGTCCCTCGACGCTCGCACCCTGTTTTTTTTTACCGGGAAAGTCTTGATGCTGAAACTGTGCCCTTGGCCCCCGGGTTACAACAACAACGGCTTCCGCCTGAGACTTCCTGACAATTCAGCCACGACCCCCCCTCCCGCCAGAGACTTCCTCGCATTTTTTAATTTAGGAATCGCGCTCTCGCTTGGGTTTTGACTTACAATTTATGCAGGAATTGCTCTCCCGGCGCTCTGGAGTCGCGCACTCACTGGAGACTTGTTTGCAATTTACAGACGACTAGCGCCTTTGCGTTGGAATTTCCTGCAATCTACTCAAGCGCCGCGTTGCCGACACCCAGGCACCCAGGAGTCGCGCTCACGCTTAGGATTCCCTCACAGATTACATAATTAGGAATCGGGATCTCGCTGCCCTTCGTGGCCCCGTTGCAGCCCTTCGTGGCCCCCTTGCTTTGTTTCGTGGCCCCGTTACAGTCCTTCGTGGCCCCCGCGCTTTGTTTCGTGGCCCCGTTGCAGCCCTTCGTGGCCTCCTCGCTGCCCTTCGTGGCCCCGTTGCAGCCCTTCGTGGCCCCCTCGCTTTGTTTCGTGGCCCCGTTGCAGCCCTTCGTGGCCCCCTCGCTGCCCTTCGTGGTCTCGTTGCAGCCCTTCGTGGCCCCCTCGGTGCCCTTCGTGGCTCCATATATGTATGCCCTTCGTGGCTCCCGCTCGTTCGCGCCCGTGGTGGCCCCATATGCATGCCCTTCGTGGCCCCGCTGTCGCCCTTCGTGGCCCCCTCGCTGCCCTTCGTGGCCCCGTTGCTGCCCTCAGTGGCCCCGTCCTTGCCCTCCGCGGCCCAACATACGTATGCCCTTCGTGGCCCCCGCTCGTTCGCGCCCGTTGTGGCCCCATGTGCATGCCATTCGTGGCCCCGCTGTCGCCGTTTGTGGCCCCCTCGCTGTCCTACGTGGCCCAGTTGCTACCTTCGGTGGCCCCATCGTTGCCTTCTGTGGCCCCGCATAATCTGCCCTTCGTGGCCCCCGCTCGTTCGCGCTTTTCGTGGCCCCATACGCATTCACTTCGTGTCCCCGCTGTCGCCCTTCGTGGCCTACTTCGTGTCCTTCGTGGCCCTGCTGTCGTTCTCTCTCGCTCTCGCTTTCGCTCGTCGTCGTCGTCGTCGTCGTCGTCGCCGTCGTCGTCGACGTCGTCGTCGTCGTCGTGGTCGGTCCCCTGTCCGTCCCTCTTGGGGTCGGGTCGACGGTCCGCGGCCGCCCCGTCGATCAGCGCTGCCGCTGGCCAGGGCGACGGTCCGCGGCCGCCCCGCTGCTTGCCGGGGCCCGGCCTGCAGGGAAGAAAGGTATAACCCCCAAAAGGGGTTTGGGCGGGTATCGAGGGTTTGGGAAATACTCGTTATTGGATACTCGAGCAGATAAAGGCGAACAGTCTAAACATGATGATTGTTGTTGTTGTTGTTGTTGTTGTTGTTGTTGTTGTTGTTGTTGTTGTTGTTGTTGTTGTCGTTGCTGTTGTTGTTGTTGTTGTTGTTGTTGTTGAACTCTCATTCTTGAAGAATAATTTTTGTTGATCCCCCCCACCGGTGCACATGGATTTTTTCGATTGAAGTGCCACCCCCGGGGCTCGCACCTGGTTTTTTCTTAAGGAAGGTCTTCCTGCTCAAACTGTGCCCCTGCCCCCCGGGCTACAACAACAACGGCTCCCGCCTGAGACTTCCTCGATTTTTACTCAGGACCCCCGCTCCCGCCTGAGACTTCCGCGCAATTTACTCAGGAAAGGCGCTCCCATCTGAGACTTCCTCGCAATGTAATCAAGACCCCCGCTCCCGCCTGAGACTTCCGTGCAATTTACGTGGGAACGGCGCTCCCGCCGAGACTTCTTCGAATTTTACTCAGGACCCCCGCTCCTGCCTGACATTTCCGCGCAATTGACTCAGGAACGGCGCTCCCGCCTGAGACTTCCTCGCAATTTAGTGAGGACCCCCGCTCCCGCCTGAGACTTCCGTGCAATTTGCGCAGGAACGGCGCTCCCGCTTGAGACTTCCTCGCAACTTAGTCAGGGCCCCCGCTCCCGCCCGAGATTTCCTCACAATGTACTCAGGATTGCGCTCTCGCGTGCGACGTCCTCACAAATTATTCTGGAATTGCGTTTCGGCGCTCAGGAACCACGCGCGCGCCAAGGACGCCTTCACAACGTGGTATCTTCCCTCTTCCTTCGTCCTTCCCCCTCCCCTTCCTCCCACTCTCCCTCGTTCTTCCCCTCCTCCTCTTGCAGGGCCCGCGCCAATTCCAATGGCGGGCAGAGAGATGTACGCCCCCGAAGGATTGTCCGCCCGTTCCGGTTTGCCCGTACGTCTAAGCCCGCCGGCCCCAGCAAAGAGAAATAATCCCCCCCAAAGGGGTGTGATCGAAGACGAAGAGGGCGGGTTTCGAGGGTGTAGGGTATACGTGCTGAATGACTCGCGGGCAAGTAAGAGCGTACAGCCTTAAAATGGTTGTTGTTGTTGTTGTTGTTGTTGTTGTCGTTGTTGCTGTTGCTGTTGCTGTTGCTGTTGCTGTTGTTGTTGGTGGTGGTGGTGGTGTTGTTGTTGCTGTTGCTGTTGCGGTTGCGGTTGCTGTTGTTGTTGTTGTTGTTGTTGTTGTTGTTGTTGTTGAACCCCTTACAGGTGCCCTGGCGCTCTCGCCGAGGCGCCGGCTGCATTTTCATTGAAAATGAGGCTCACTCTCAAGCGGTTTTTGGGGCCGCCAAAACTGGCCCCCCAACGACAACAACAATCATTTCAAGACTGTTCGCCCTTATCCGCTTGAGTGTCCAATAGCGCCTATTTCTCAAACCCTCGATACCCGCCCTCTTCGTCTTCGATCGAAACATCTCCATTATGGGTTGTGGTGTCCGGAAGGATGCGTGTGACAAGTGGGGGCGTGGCGCATGGTGGTCAATTGATTGTTGCTGTTGTTGTTTAGGTTGTTGTTGTTGTTGTTGTTGTTGTTGCTGTTGCTGTTGTTGTTGCTGTTGTTGTTGTTGTTGTTGTTGTTGTTGCTGTTGCTGTTGCTGTTGCTGTTGCTGTTG